ATGAATAGTGATTAAAACTAATATATCCTTCGATAAAAAAGGTCAACGTCAACAATCGTGTTCAAGATGCTAGTCAATTGACACCATTACACATCGCAGTTCAAACAGGAACAGAAATAATCATAAGAAATTTGGTAAGCACCTTCATTAAACATGCCATATAATATCTCTACGCATATGGGCGAAGACGGCAGCAACGACCTCATCCATTCATTATCTTAGAATGTTTGCGTCATAACCCATCTAATTAGTGTTTCTGTAGGAATAGTTACTCCTATCATATGTCTTTTAGTTATTAGCTGGTGCAAATATAGATGATGTAACAGCGAACAGACGTTCATCGTTGCATATTGCTGCTGAACATGGTCGTGCTTCAATATGTAGTATACTTATCGAAAGCCATATCCAGTGTAATTTACTGGATGCAAATCAAAATAATGGTAAAAAAGTAATTATGATAGAATTATAAAACACAAGAAGAAATAATATTGTGTCTATTGAATATAAATTGTCTTTTTTAGCATTACACATGGCTGTTCAACATGCTCATTTAGATGTTGTAAGAACATTACTGACCGAATCTGATGTAGATGTGTTAGCCGTAAATGCAAAGTAAAATAACACTAAACACCTAATTTCTTTGTTTAATACGTATTATTCTAAAAGACTGTATCTATTTTGTTCGTCACACGATGCTTTGTCATTCATAAAGAAAGAAATCAAATCAAATAAGGTTTTTTGTTGAATTTTAGAGGCATGAATTGTTTACATGTATTGGCATCTCATAGTCGAGAAAATGCTCACATAATATTTGCTGCTATATTTGAAACTCATTCCGATTTTCCTCTTGATATACAAGATGCACAAGGCAACACTAGTAAAATTTGTCTATCGATCGTGTTGTTTTTTTAATATCAATTTTAAATTCATTTTCTAGCGTTGCTACTGGCATACAAAATTGGAAAGTAAGTTATTTGCAAACATCTTAAAGATGTAAAAATATTGTTTTCGTGTTTAGTGGCCATTTATGTCGAGCATTAGTGACAGCTGGTGCTAATTTAAGTATATACAATAATGATGGAATATCTATATTTACCCAGGCTGTTGCCTCTAAAGCACTGTTGGTCAATATTTTAGGTTAAATTACACAAACCAAATATTAGTTATATTTTACTTATTTTGTCATTTATCTTCTAGATACGTTACAACGTGAGCCACCTTGGGGAGATTCAGACAATTGTCTGGAATGTGGAATGAAGTTTACTATCACAAATCGTAAACATCACTGGTTCGTCTCTCTTTTCTATCTGTGTTTCTGTTTGACACTTTCTTTGTTTAACTATTTTAGTCGTCACTGTGGTCGTGTATTATGTAAACGATGTTCTGTATGTGAACTACCAATAATGAAATTTAATTTGCAAAAACCTGTACGTGTTTGTCAAATTTGCAATGATGTATTAACATTAGGCGTTATGGCTGCACGTTAAAAACTTTCTTATACTACTGGATTTTTAGTCATAAGCACTTCTATTTAAATACTTACGCAAATTGTTTTTTTTGAATGAGTAAATAGAAGTAATCGATCAAATATGATTTTTTTTTTCGAATATTTCTGATTCATATTCATGTTACTCAACTTACGCGCAATAATTCTTGTTGAGTGAGAATAGTTGTTTCGATCGTTGTATTTTCATGTTTTGATTGTTATAAATTTTCCTTCACGCTCTTTTATTTTCTATTCGTATTGGACTGTTTGCTTTTCGTTTGTTTTATTTCAATCACCTAGTCAAATACGTACAAACATTTTTATTGTGATTCATATTTTTTATTCTATTCAATTAAGTCAACCGATAAACGTTTTTTTTGTTAATTATTAAATGTGTTTGTTGTTGAATGTTCACATCTCCACTTGATTCTGTTAGATATATTGGTACGATTTTTTGAATATTTAAAATTAAAATGTGTTAAAATAATTCCGTTCAAAATAGTCTTTTAGTGTGTTAAGCAAAAACAGAAAATTCCAGATTATAAATAGACGATATATTTATTCTGATATGATTTATTTCTAATAAAAGCACATATGATTGGTAAACGTATGATTCTGTATTAGTACATTTGATGTCTAACTCTATTCTCATAGTTTTTAAGCATTTACAGCTAATCAAATCAAAATGTTTACTATTCAATTCAAATCAAATTTATTTAGTCACAGATGAAAAAGAATGACAACGTTACGACAAAAGTGACTTTTTAGGAAAGTCTTTTGTAGAATCAATTTTAGATGGTGAGCTAAACGCCCTATAATTAATATGCAATATACATGCACACAAATAAAGAGAAAAAAAGACGCAAATATAAGTAATTATTAATGGCTATTGAACAGCTGGTGATGATAGAAACTGTTCGATAGTAGCAATAAAATTTGAAAACTAGAAGAATGTCTTAGACAATTGTGCTGTACTATCTACCTACCCTATTCTACTGTAACCACCTTCAAGTGTTTTAGATGCTTTGGAAATATTTACGTTAGTTTCATAATTTTCGTTCTAAAAGCTCTCTATCTACTTGATTTATATTTAGTTAATTTTAGAACCGCATGTAAAATTAACTAAATATAATTATTCAAGTTGAGTTTCACATTTATATATCTACTAGGTGAACAGCTTTTCTTACCTTTTAATATACACAGATATATATAGATGTATATAGTACAGAGGTGAACAAGTTCGACCATTTCCACGTCCAAGTCCAACAAATTTATTTTGGCAAGTCCAATTTCGAGTCGAAGTTCTTCATTGCAGTTTCTGTACTACACAGTACGTCATAATCATATATGACGAGTGAATAAATTTTATCGCTACATTGATGCGTGTTTGACAAAAAAAGAGTAATGAATTAGATATCAGATTAAACTCATTTTGTTGAATATAAAAGATTTTAAATCCTTGGGCTTCAAAACGCACTTGATAAAAAATACTCAAGTTCAAGTTCGTCAAAAAACCTTCAAGTCCGGATTTGGACTTGCCCATCTCTGATACAACATATATATGATGTACACCTACATATACGTAGAGTACAGAAGAAGAAATTTCTACACGTATTTCTGTCTGTGTGAAAGTGAAGGTGACATTGGAAGGAAGCGTGGGACGAGAGAAACGATGAAGTTCGAGACGAGCGTAGCGAGTCGAAACTTTGCCGTCTACTCAACACAGATACTGTCTACATGTTTAAACATCTCAAGGGAGAAAGACTACGGGAGAACACTCAAGCAAAAGGTTTTTGCTTTATCACTGAAGACATTGGCGAGAAGAATTAGAAAGCAGACCTGAAAAATTTAATTCGATGCACTCATTAATTTGAACAATTATTGGATTTTTGGACGATACAATCAGTGTTACAGTCGAATGCTCATATGACTTCTCGTGATGGAAAAAAGAAAATCGGTAATGTCCAGCTCGACATTCACTCTTATGATTGAAATGCGTAGTTTCTCTAAATCAACGTACTATTTTTATCTGTTACTATCGCGTATGTTATATGCTTACATAACACTTAAAGCGCCCTATCCTTACTTCAGCACTGCCATATTCCCGTCTTAGCTCCAGTATAAAAGCTAATACACTCACCTCAACATTATACGTTTTGAGCGAACTCTTAAATTCGCTGCGAACTATGATTCTCTATTTTTGTGCATGCTGAGAATTCAAGAACTGATTGAATTTAATTTGACAGAAACAGAACAAAACATAAAGATTATTACATACCTGGGACGTAGAAAAAGTTTTAAAAACACTTATAAACGCTACTACCAAAAAGGAAAGGAAAACAATACAATAAATCTCCACAACTCAAAATAAAAAGTTCTTTGAAAAAATAGAGCTAGCCTTAAGACTGAAGTTGTTCCAGTGGAATACATACGCATCGTATTCTCTAACGCGTGTAATGTCTGTTTACATTTTCGTTACGCATGCTTCTAATTAATTGCCTTGTTCTAACAAATTTTCTTTCATTTGAGTGCTTGATCGAGATAAATATAACGAATCTAACAGACTAGTCCAAAAACAGAGAGTAATCGTATCGTGCTTGTGTAATCGTTATTATCGTTACTATTACAAATACATATCTAAAATTAGTACTCCTGAATAATCTGCATTATGACTCTTCCCGACCGTTCAACAATATTGTTTTTCACCTTTTCAATTTTTGATATGTGCATGTTTAATTCTGTTGAAATTGTTGATACTATTTATTGTTCATCATTTAATCGAATACAAAGAAGATATTAATGTTTTTGTGTTTCTGTTCAACGTTTTTTAACGATCTATAAATTAAAATGATCTTTCTTGAATTGGAAAAAGATAAAAATTGATTCGATACTTTTAATGATAACTTTTTACATTTCAATAGTTTGTCATTCTAAATTGCACCTTACAATTCACTTGAACAATGTTGAATGTTTTTTCAAACGCTTGGTTTCAACTTTTAATCACATATTCGCCAAGATAATTCTGTATTAAATGAACTCACAGCAATACAAACAACGATCAGTAACAACATATTCTTCATGATGATTCACCAAACTGGTAAAGCATAGATGTAAAATGTATGTGAAATGATACAACAGTTTTGTGTACGACATGAAAAAATTTAATGTCTTTATTGAATCTCCGTTAACCAAGAGAAGATTCATTTAGATTAGACGATACAAAAATAAAATGTTTCTACTTATTGAAAGTTCGTAAGAAAATTTCGTGTTTTTTTGCATACAATTTTCATTAAAATTGCTTACTTTATTTTAATAATGTCTTTGAGTCACGGATGGATGAGTGTCTAACACAATCACCGTGAGAGCTCTCGTGTTGATAATCACTATTTACATGTTAAATACATACTAATTTTTTCAATGTACTTAATACTAAATATGTACTATTATTCTTTAATTTTATCTGTATGTCTATATTTTATAGTCACTTGAAGCATACTGCCATCATTCATATACAATGAAATCGAATACACCAACTATTATTCGACCAATTTATACGGATAAAATTCCGTATAATACAGCAATATGGCTTAACAACAATCATATAATTCCTACTCGATTGTATCAACAGCCACAGCGTATAGGAGACGATAGTCTCAGTTTAAATAATAAATCACAAACAAAAGAAGGTCTTGTACAAACAGAACAATCATTATTATCTAATGACAAAAATCAAACAACATGTTCAACCGAACAAATTATTGGCTGTTCTGCTGCTTTACTAATTGCAGTATTATGTATTTGTCTTATTATTGCAATTCCAGTTGTCATATTTTTTAACTTAAAAAGTAAGTGGACTTATTTTACGTTTATTGTCCGTTACTATTTAGATACCTATATATTTTTTTAGCTCAATCACATACATTTGTTCATGAAAGCAATTTACAAAATGGAAATTATTTTAAAATGAATACGACCAATTCTGTTATTCTATTGAAACCAGTGAAAGATGTTCTCCTAACAAACATATCAAATTTAATTCACAATGCAACGCAGATGAAAAATGATTAATTTATACTGTCGATCATATTGTTCATAGGAAGACAAACAGTCGACAAGGAATGTGCTAGATCTATTTCAATCTTAATAAACTTTTTTGTTATATAGACGTAAAAAAATTCAAATTCTCAAATTGATTGGAAAAATAACAATTTTCTTCATTATCTACTTGAAATCAACTTTTTGTGATTAGTTTTTTCCCGTAATAATGAGTATTCATTTGAACAAGTTTGCTCGTACACATGTCTGAATGATAACAGAAAACAAATTATTTATCAACTTTATGACATCTCATAGTTATTGAAAAAGAATGAATGCTCAATTAGACTACTTCATCGTATGCAATGAAGCTACTTATTATAATCATTATTTTGATTACCAAAAGGACGGTATTATCCTATCAAGCCTTCTAGCCTTCTATACTTTTGAAAAAATCTTTCGTTAATACATTGGAAGCAAGATGTTCGCTAGCAGCTTCGTGGTTCTTAAATTAACGCCCTTTCAGAGTTGAACCACTTTAACTCGGAGTTGACCTGTTTTGAATAAAAACGACTGGCTTTTCGAGCAGCTGAATTTGAGCTAAAGAACCATGAGTTTTGCAATTTCAATCCAAATATTCAAACCTAGAATTTTCCTTCTCCAAGTAGTCACTAGCCGCAAATATTTTTTTAAATTTCTAATACGACATCGACTAGTCGATCTGTATTACATTTTTCTCGTTTACGATCGTATAAGTCACTGAAACTTGTCCTGAAAAAGTAAACTGTGAATCTCAGTGTAATTTGAAGACGGGATCTAGACGTACTTTTACAAAAAGCTAAAAGTCTGTAAGTTGAAAAAATCGAAATAAATCCAAAGTTAAAAGTTAAAATTATCTGATAAACTGTGGATTTCATCAGTTCAGTAGAAGTCTCAATTTTCTGACGTAAATTGAAAAAATAAAGCCGACTAGTCTGAAAATGGCATTTATTTTAGTAACGAAAATAGTAAGTGTACTAGTTTTTATCTAGTTGCACATTCGCATGGGTCATCACATTTGTTTATTAGTGGATAATTTCCGTTATAAAATATCGTCATATAACGTGAGCAGCACTCTTTCCAATTTTTTCATACAATAATCGAGATCAGCATCAGAAAATTACGTGGATTGTAGAGTCGTGACCGTAACTTTTGCTACTGACGTATCTCGATCTATTTGTTACTAGATGAAATTAATATCTGTCATACCAAAAAGATGAATGGAACTATCCTTAGCTTTTACATATATTATACAATACACGCCAAAATACAAAAAATTTATTGTGACAAATAAAGAAAAAATCATGTCATTAGAATAAAACATAAGAATAAACAAAATATTGAAGAATTTATATTGAAAAAAATTAAGAATCAAAATAAACATCTTTGCTAATTATCATCACATGTCAACTGGTTCACTTTTCACAATCCAAAAATGTTTGAAATCGACAACAGTCGTTATCCTTCAAAAAAGAAAGCAAAGATGAGTATCACATGAGTATAATATTGATTTTCATCACGCTCAAAAAGGAAACTTCTTATTAAGGACATATTTTGCTGCTATGAAACTACGTGATTTTGGAGAAATCACTCAGAAATGATTCCAATGTTGCCAACTGTACACTCACCAAAATTGTATTTTGTCAGCATTTCCAAAGTCCACGGGCTTTTCCCACTTAAATTCGAATGATTTCTTATCTTTAAATATTTTATTATGAGTTAATCCTTTACCCTAGAGAAAAATAACGTAAAATAATCAGTTTATACAATGGTTTGAATGCTTTTAGCTTATACTTGCCGTTTTACAATCGACTAAATGCATACTAGGTTCAGTTTCAAATGTACCAATTGGCAAATCTGTATTCAATTTCCGTCCTTGTATAAATATTCCTTTTATCGGTTCATTTGATTCAATACGAACTAAACGCCGTGAGAAAAATTTTCAGCAATGCAGCGCTTCTTCATATGTCATAGAAATGTGAGAAACTAGAAAAATTCCAAATGGTATCAGTAGTTGCCAGAATTCGCAATTCCAATGCTAGCGGTATTCGCTATGGTGCATTTATTTTATTTCCAAATTACACTAAAATGAATGAAATGTGAGTTCTCTTTTACCCTTCTTTGCGTGCGTGTATGATGGCATTTATTAAAAGTCAGACGGTGTTTTAATAAGATTGGCTGAAATTTAAATAAAGCTATCATGTCTAGTTGACACTTCACAGCAATTCCCCAAGGAATTATCTACAATTCAGAAGTAATTCATTCAACGTTCTACTATGCTAGTCTGGATGCATAAAAGAGCTATTAATGTCGAATACAAAGGTTTTCTATCAGTAATAGTAGGTGATAATAACATGTCAGCATCACTGCTTAGTTTCAGCCAAAGACTGTCTATGATGAGGACGCCCGTAAAATTCAAATTTTTAATGAAAAAGAATAACATGAAGCATACACGTACGCTACGAAAAACTTCCTCAGCAACTCCTTTCACAACTCTTTGGCACTCCATAACAGAACTCTCGAGGATTTTTCAAAAGAGTTTCGATCTGACATTTCAAGAATTAAGGACTATGTGTATCTATAGGTTATCTTCTTTTCAATCTGATACTTTCTTATCTATAAATTTCGGTTTGGTAGAGAAAAGATAAGAGAAAAAATTTACCTGTAACTGTTGTTTTTTCGCTATTCCAAACACCTTTAAAGCTTGTTATTGGACTTGTTGTTTCGGGTTGTGGCACATTTTGTTTATGATGAGGTATCATGGTTTTGCAAGCTTCCTCTGGTGCACCATGGGGCAGAGAATAAACAATTGTGACAAATAATAGACTAAACAGTGAAACATATATTTGATCCTTAAGCATTTTGTTGTCAAGAAGATTTCAGATAAACAATCGGAATGGAAATAATATTGCTTGATTATGTGGATATACTACTTTATACACTATCTTATATACTATCTGACATACAAAACATATTATACGTTATCGGACAGCCTAGACGAAATTCTTTTTTTTTGTTATAGCAGACATCTAAATCTCAAACATAAATGTTTATATTTTTTTCGACGCACATGGTTAGTAAAGTGAAAAGGATATGGGTGATTAAGCTAAAAAAGTTCACCCAATATTTTTGACTTTTTTCTGTCAGAAAGGTGTCACAGGTTATTAGAAACATCTCCTTAGTTTCTTGAAATTTTGATATGAGATTTCTGACGCCTTTGGAGGGAAGGGACCTTAATTTTTGGAAAACGTTTTATTTCAGATTTTTCTAAAACCACATGGTCTATGAGTAGAATTTCAAGCTGATCACGAATATTATCCTTAAAGCTAAAAGTAGTTCCACCTCATGGAACAAATCGATTTTTACTGAATGATGGTACCAGCTCACCATCCATTGATTTTACGTTGCGTCCGATCAAAAACACAGTTTTCGAGCTTTAGAAAAGTGTTTGATGAACTACTTTCATTCTATTTAATGTGAAAAAAGAGCAACGCGCCAGTATAACTGAAGAGTTAAATTAATTGGATGGAAAATAGAATTTTTCACGGCATACACGATGGCTACTTCAGCTTTTCCCCCTCCAATGAACATTTAGCCATTAAAACTTAAAAGGTGGTTATCTAACTTATTTTTTTGTACTTAATAGGATTTCTCATCTCATTTTCCACCTTCAGATTTAGTAGATACATATTTTGTAGAGATTTGAACGGACTATCTTTTCGTAAGAAAATTTGCTCAATTAAAATTATAAGGAAGAAGAAAAACTGAACATACTGAGACTATAATTCTTTTTGCTCCACCTGTTAGGAAGAAATGAACTAGCAATGCTATCAGATTTCATTTAAGGATAGAGAAGAAACCAATTGACAAACGATCGATTGACGGATAGTATAGAAATTCTAAAACAACAGAAAAAGACAATTTAATTTATATTCTAGATGAAAAAAATGAAATAACCATTTAAAAACATTAGTGTCTCATTAGAAAAAAGAAGAAGAATTAAAATAGTCATTTGAAAATATATATACAGATGCTTTTTTGATTCGTAACACAATGTAATTGAGAAACCATATGAAATACGCCTAAACACAAATATGAATCGCATCAACTACTAAAATTCGTTCTTCATTCTTTAATGAAATAATGCTACGGATAAGACTTCTTTGATGTTGTAAAAGATACGTCTGGAATTAGTTGTCTCAATTATAATATAATTTTGTAACTACTTCCTAAAAATAATAATTTTTCTCCGAGAACTTAAACAATTTCCCTCATAAGAGGTAATCAATGTATATGGTACACGATATCTAAAATGATTATCGACATTTTTCTAAATGAAAATATTCATAAAAGCTCTAGCGAAGCCTTCTTAATAACATATTTAGTTTTAAAGATCATTTTGAAACAAAAAGCTTTAGAAAAGCATGCAGCATTGATATTTAAATTGGGTTTTCAAAAATTTGCAACTTTAATTTTTCTAAAACTCGAATAATTTTAAAAACATCATTGGGCAGAGCTTGAAAAACTCAGTGAATGTGGAGGCTTGACGGAGTTTGTGAGTAAAAATAAAATGAGTTTTTAATGGTGTTTTAGGAAACCGGTAAAATTAAATTTTCAAAAAGTTCGATTCTAAACTGCGTAGTGAGACTGTTTAACATCGAATTATCTTGGATTAAATGACCTACTCTCTAAAAAAATAGGTATTTTAAAAAACTTAAAAAGGCTTCGAGAAACTGCAAATATACGAAACCCCTTTTGGGCTTTAGTAAGGGGTTTTTACCTTTACTAAACCCTTTTTAAGTTCCGTATATTTGCAGTTTTCCGAACCCTTTAAAAGGTTTAGTAAGTAGGTTTAGTTTAGTAAGGGGGTTTTCACTCTTACTAAATCCTAAAGGGTTTGATAACGAGAATACAATACCTTTAGAGTTTTGTAACATTGCAACGTTTAGTTCGTTATGGGAGTGACGATTTTTTTTCTAATTTAAATAAATGCCTTTCTGTGTAAATGTGTATATTTCTGTATGTATTGTGATGATTTTATATAAAAAAATTATTGATAGTACAGTGTTAAAATAATATAATAAACAATAAACAGTGATAAAACTAGAATGTGATCTTGGCCTTGGACTAATTTCGGCAATATTGAGTTGCCTCTTTAATGTAACAAATGATCACTTTCTTTCTTATATGTTTGATATAAGCCTTAAAAAACTGAAAGAACTGACTTTTTTTGTCTGATTTTCAGCATTTTTCAGATATCTCGAGAAGGAAAGCATATTTTTCAAAAAGAAAAAAAACAAACCTAAGATAGGATCTGAAGTATCTATGGTAAAATTTTGAGCTCAATCGGACCATTTTTTCGAGGGATCGTAATGTGAGCTGATGAAAATTGGAGTTCTCCAGAAAATCCATAGAAGAACACGTCAGAAAATTCTGGGCAAAAATACATTGATTTTCTTGTTCGATGTTCTATCTCCGGTGTAAATTTCAACCTGATCCGACATCGGCTTCCTCGGTTTCCAAGAGGGTCAAAAAAGAGGGGGGAGTATCCTTAAGCATAAAGAAGCAAGAGGATCTGGTATATAGTTAGAACATCGTCAGCAAATTTCCTCGTTTGCCTTTGGTAGTGCAAAAAATCGTCACTCCCATAACGAACTTCTTTTCTCTGCTTATATAGTAAGAACCGATGCTCTTACAATGGTATTTCACAGAGATGGACGTCGAGTCGACTTTTTCTTTAACTCGGACTTGAGAGAAAAGATTCGATAAAGTTAATAAAATGACTCGAGTCACTTTCAAGCTAGTGATGTAAAATTTTGCATTATAATGAATGTATTTCTTATATTTGCTATATACGCGAAGAGAAAGAAAGGAAAAGAGAGATTTAAGAATATCCTAAGTAGAATAACTCGTCACGTGATAAGATTGAAGACCTAGAAAAGGATAAGACAAACAAAGGAGAGTTTGCTGTAAAATATTTGATGAACATTGCTATGAAATGTTTTTAAACATGTTAAGAAAAACAATGTTTTCTTGTGTGAATTGAATAGTTATATGTTCTCACCTTTAGATTCGAGTTACAAGAAAAGGAAAATAAACAAGGTAACATCTAGCAAATGTTCAATAGAATAAGCAGAAGCTTAAAAGAGTAGAAAGGAGCTAAATGCTGTTCTTGGAAAAATGAATCCGTGAGAATTTTAACCTTTCGAAAATGATTCAAGATGACTCGAGTCAGTTTTTTGTGTGACTACGGCTTGAACTCAAAAAGTGGTGAATTGCCAACCCCTAGTACTTTAATATGTTTCGTAAGAGTATCTATCTATTCAGTTTCTTACTTTTTACTTGAAAATTGCAAACAAGTTTAAGTAACAAATAGTAAAAGAACAATAGACTTTCATAAATTAAATTGAAATTGCTTATATATTCGTCCAATTTCATATATCACTGTATTGCGGATAGGACATGGCTTTTCAAGCATGAGGATGAATACAAAAAGTTTTGAAAAGTTGAATATTTAGTATTGCTATTGATGTTTACGACAGATCCATTCTTTGTATGAAATGGTTATTTCATTGAAATCTAGTTCTAAATCTCTAATGTATCACAGTACTGTCTAAAACCGATTTATTTGGCCTTTAATTCCGCTATGCTATCGTTCAGCAGTACAGTTGAGAAGCCTGATGTTGACAATGTTTCAAAATTAATTTTTCAACTTAAAACATTCTATTGGCTACTCCTCTCTACATATAACACTTGTTAATTTAATATTTTTCATATATTCATCGTGATTATACAAACAACAATTATCCTTTAAGCTAATTTTAACAAATATTGGACAATTGATTTCTTCATCTTCGCAATTATTGACAGTCAAGAATGCATCGCAAATTCGATACATCGAAATACAGCGATGTGAATTTGACCAACGATGTGTTTATTACCAATCTTATCATTTAAAAGATTGAGCGCAATTCCAAAACGTTTTTCGTTTCAAAAAAGTGAAGCGGTACAGTTAACGATTGCACAACTACAAATACATTACACACTGTTCAAGAATACCTGTTTATTATTTACTGATACTAATTAATCATCGGATATATTGAATTATTCAATCAAAAGATGTTGTCATACTAAAAATGATAATTTGAATGCTTTTTGCGAGTATACTAATTGTAGTGATATTTTTTCTACGCGATTTTTGGACATGCCGCTTATGTTCTAAATCAATATGTCATAGCTCCTTTTGTACAAAATTAAATTATCTACAAGGTAGGCTTATCAAATTCTTAGAGAACCAATAACTCGCAGCTCAAAAAGTCGTTTTACTAAACAAAACAATTTTTTTAACTTAAAAGTTTCATTTGTTTTAAATTTTTCTATCCCAAACTATGACCTCAACAGTTTTTTAAGGGTTTAAAAAGCCGGGTTTCTAAGGTCCAAGGCATTTCTGAGATCTAAAAAGTCGGATTTATAGATAATTGAATGAGGATAGTTAGAAAAAAACATCTAATTTTTTCACACCTAATCCAAGTTCCCAACACTTGAACTTTTCTACAGCTAAATAAGTGGTTTTATAACAAAATTTATTCAATGACGGTAAGAATAGAGAAGTGTCGCCGACAGCTATTCTCAGAAGTTATCAATACACATTGATGAATTGGTGGTCATTTATAGGTGACAGATCAGAAACGGACCAGTTGCCTTAAAAACAAATCTAAAATAGCATTCAGAGAGCCAACTTGTTGCGTTGAATCACAGTCGTTGGCGACTCTCCACTTGTCATTCCGCCCAGATCTGATGTTTTTGATCAAATTGTTCGTTATAAATTCAGAACTTCTCGCCTATACCACATCACATAATTATCATGTTCCTTGTTGAAAATCTGCGTAATTTTATTTACTTATTCGAATTTATTCAGTTTACTAAGAATCACTTAGCTGGAGCGATAACATGCGTGGGCCTATTTCTCTTTCGTCAGATGATCCCTAATAATCTGTTCGGTAGTATCACGACTCACACCGAGTTCATCTTTTATTTTATCAATTGTAATATGAAAATTGTCACTACAGAGATAACCAATTAATTCAATGTTTTCAAATATTGTTTCAGCTACAGATGCGTCAGCCTGCAGGTGGGTAATTCTTTCGAAAACTTTATAAACTATGGTATGTTCTCGAAAGAATTATCTTTGTGCATCACCCTGTAGCTCTTTCTAATCTGCATGAAATAAATCTTCTTGACCATTTTTCAACTGTGCTGCAAGATAGAGAGATTGACCATCCAAAACAAAATGTAACTTGTTGTGCATAAATTTGGGTCAATATTAAATGCAGTACGTATTTTAAGGTTGAAACAAAGTGTTTGCACGGTCGTTCACACAGCTGGAACCGGATCAGTAGAGACTGGTATTTCACCGGTCGAAACTTTTGAAATATCTGCTCTTTTTACCCTATTTTTCGTCAAAAAACTAAAATTTCAAGTCTTTTTCAATCAGAATAAATAAGACGATGCTCAAGACACCTATTATTTTCATCACTTGTTTTAAGGTTAAATATTATAGACTGTTATTGTGAAGGTTCTCTCACATGCTCGCAAACTATTTCATTTCTGAGGAAAATTCTTTTTGAAAATTGATTTTCAGAAAACTTCGCCAGGTTTTCGTCGGTATTTTACCGATTTTTCCTTTTCTCAACCGGTTCCAGCTCTGGCCGTTCAATGGTGACTCATAAAGCTTCCATTATGCTTGTAATAATTTTTTACGTAAACGTCTATATTTTGCAAAACTATTCAGAATCTGAATAGTACTTCTATTATTTCTGTCTAAACAGGACAAACAAAGATCACAAAATCGCGATTCCAGTGTTGGCTTATGCATTGTCTTAGCTTGACCCACTGTATTCGTCCAAATCTTAATGTATTTACGTATGAATAGTTTATTATTAAGCGGTGGAAAATCAACAAACAGTTTTCAATATTTTCTCTCTACTAATGGGCATATAAAATAAGTAATAGGAAACATATTTCGCAGATCTTCTTAGAAATCTTTAAAAAGAGAAATGTCTCTGAGAGCACCAATTGTTTTAGCGTTCCACTCTCGAATAGAAACAAGTAAAAATATGTTTTTAGATATCTCTTTTATTGTAATAGGTGACTTTAAGATTGATTGTTTGTTCGAACGAGTGTTAGTGTTCTTACATGTTAAATATTTAATTATTCATCAAGAGTTCAAAAATCGCCTATACACATAAGAGGAGGAAAAGTATGTAGAGATGTGCAATCCAACCCAATCCGAAGATTGAATGCGAGCCCGACTTTTAAGTTTCAACAGAAAATCGAAAGGTTTTAGCCTTAATCCACAAGATCTAACCCAATTAATACGAGACTTTATCCCGATAACGTGAAATTTTAATCGAAAACCGAAAATTTAAGTTATATAACAAAGATGAAAACATTGTGTATGTACAGTTCAAGTACGGGCCTGAAGCTCATACTCTTGCACATATCAGGAGTTAATTTAAGCTTTCAGTCATAGATCAATATTTTTCAATGTCTTTTCTCTTTGAGAAACAATGTAATTTAATGTTCTTGATTCAGAATTGTACATTCGTCAACGTATCTTTGTTTGTAAAAAAGCCAAATTGACTACATTAAACTGACTATTAGACTGATGAACTGGACTATTATTTAAAGAATTTGACAAGAAATTTTTGTCTGCCTTGCTTTTTATAGTGAGTTTCTCAAATGTTTTAACGTTTCAGATTGCACTGCATATGTCGGAGCATCCTCAATTATTATGTTTCATATTATTACAAGCGATCGTTTGTTTGTCATGAGCCTTGCTCTCTGATTATTGTGTATTTGCTGATGTCCGATCGCCTTTCTTATCTCCCGTTTCCCTTCGTTTTCGATGTTCATGCCAATTTTATTGCTTTGAAAGTAGTTAACCGAGCTGAAGAAAGAAATGAAACTAAAACATTTCCCGTATAATTCTATTATTTCAATGGTAATTAGTAATAGCTTAACTTTTTTTTTCTTTTTTTCAGCATATTTTTTTGACACTATAGTAGAGAGAGGTGAGGTGGCAGCGGTATGTCGTATAATATACAAGGATTGTTAAATATATAAAACAAGAAATGTCATGATATAATGATTTACAAGTTTTCATCTACCGCAACAAAAAATAAAGTATTTTTTACTAAATAACGCCTACATCATTCGTAAGTCAAATGATTGTTAAAAGAAATAGAATATATATTTGTCAAGGTTATTGTACAGTAGAAAATGGGCGAAATAAATGTTTAATGTTTTTCCTTAACAATTTTGATGGTTAATAGTTATAATTTTGATAGCTTCGTAGGAAGACAGTATATACGTTAAGTACGACATCTTAACGACATTTGATTAAGACTAATAAAATTTCATGAAAAGAACTTTGTAATAGAGAAGTTTAAAGAGTCCGTTGAATATCATATATTATTTCAGATATTATATATAGAGATAGACCTTTTTTAAATATTCAATTACTAATTCTTCGTTGAATATTAAAAAAAAAATAAGGCTGTTTACTAACTTCTCAAAAAATATATATATATTCACAGGCAGATAATTCATAAAACCTTTTTTTATTTTGAATTATCTTTACAAAAAAAAAACATTGACACTTATGATTATAAACAAATTTGAATGATGTTTTGTACTTGTATAAAAACAAATTGCTAAAATTAAAAAATGCCCTTTTGATTTTTGTCTAAAAAAAAACTTGTAGTAACGATCATCATAAAAATTTTAAAATTTTCTTTTCAAAAATAATTTCAATATCCAATGGAGAAAAAAATCGAGCAATTTTGCACCTATGTCAAATAAACTGTATAATAAACTTGGCCCCCATTTCATTCTTTCGAATAATTATCATCTATAGTCGATGTAATAAAGTGCCATCAAATGTATTTCGACATCAATCGAGCATAATATTAGGATGGACTTTTCTCTCTAGTTATATAATAAGATTGAAATATAAGAATGTGTAATAAAAAATAAAACGTACATAAATGTAAACCACTCTAACACAGGACCACATTAACTTCTTTTTTTCTATTTTTAAAAATTAGAAAATAAAAAAAAAAAAAAAAAAAAAAAAACTGCTAACTAAGTAAGCTCTCTTTTCTTCCTCTTTTTTCTCTTCCGTTACTTATTTGCTTATACTATACAGACTAAATATAGATGTTTGTAGATTGCTTAATATAGTTAATGGTGTCATGCATCTGATTTATTACTTTTTTTCTTAATGTAGTATAAAGTATTCGTTTCATCTTATTCATGTTAATAATAAAAAAGAGAAAATGTCTATATTGAATCAGGGGTTTAGAAAAGGTAATTGAATTTTTGTTTCGCCGGTTTTCTTCTTTTTTTTTTTTCTTCTTCGCTCTCATTTTTCCTGCTTGACATTTAACGATTATTTTTCATGGGACGTTACTTTTTTTTTTTTTAATCGACAGTTTTTCTAAACTCTAACCGGGTTAAAATTAATTATTTAATATTATTATTTCAATCGAATCGTATGGCGAACAGTAAGTTTTTAATTTAACGATATTTTGTTAAAAATAATAGTTTATATTCAGAAATATACTAAATTTGTTATATAGACAATAAACTTCTTTCTGTTTTTTTATTTAGAAATTTTTAAACATAATATAATATAAAGTTTGAAAGTTAACGCATGAATAACAAATACTTAGTTGACCAATCTTATTTTTTTGTCCGAAAGTTAACTTTGATGATACAATAAATTTATGTATTTTAGGATTTTTAGATTTAAAATAATTTAATCTCATTTTTTTTTTTTAAAAAAAAATACAAAAACTTTATATCTGACATAAACATTAGTTTAAAAGTAAGCACCTGTTGCTAGTCGACGTGATATACAAGAGAATTTTTTTTAGAGTCATGATTTTGTTGACACTACTTTAGAGAAAGATACTTCACTATTAAATACTTAAAAACAAATTCTTCTATTCATTGTTCAAGAAAGAATCATTTAACGGCAGAACATTTTTTTTATCGCTAGGACAACTTAGAACAATGGTATATCTATTCCGTGTTAAATAAAGGAGTTGTATTATACAAAGAAGAGTAATTTCCTTTCAACATCTATATTGAAGAGAGTCAAAAACTTAAACTAAGAAGAAAAAAAACAGTGTTTCTATTGTGAATACCAGTAACGGACTACACACATGTGTCATTTATCTTTATCTATCCCTCAATAATACTGACAATTTATGTTTCTCTATAGTATAATCTTCAAAGTGATTTTTTTTTATTAGTTTTTGTTTCTCACCCTCTCTCACTCTCTATACTGCATGTGTATAATTATTAGATTTTCTCTATCTGCAATAGTGTGCCTGTTATTTATTAATGTGTTTTTTATGATACACACACACATACACACAATGTTTCTATATTCTCAAGTCGTTCTAGTTTAATAATAAATAATTTTGCTTTTTTATATACGGAGATGGCGAGGCAGACCTCGTATTGATTAAACCATTAACCCAACGAGAGAAAAGGAAGAAAAGCAGGAAAAAGAAACGAAATGTAATAAACAGATCAAATACATTTCATATTCTCTTATTTGAAATTCAAACGTATATAGATTGATACAGAGAGTACGTCTTTTTTATTATTAGGAAAAAAAAGAGAAAACAGCTGTTATTTTCTCTCTTTAAAAATATCTGAACAAGTTTTGAAGACTAACTATTAATAAAAGAAAAGTTCAATGTACCTATAATATGCTAATCGATATAGAACTGTACATGTAATAGTACATGTAAAAGAGTGAAGAGAAAAAATTTATATATAGACAACATTTAACTTTATTAGCTGTTTTCAAATATCAGTTGTGTAAGTAGAGGACGTTTGACTTTTTAAAAATAAAATCTATAGTTTTAGTAAAACATAAAAGATTGAAAATTTTTTTACATCTTGTAATTTTATTATCAAAAGTTTGACTGAAGATCTTTATTGAAAAAATCTTTTTTGGTCAAGAACTTGTTTACAAGACGTTTCACTTAGATTTATTAGTCATAATTTATTTTTATTGACACTTGTCAACGTTAACTTTTCCGGCTGATTTTCACGTACTTCTTTCTCTCCTTAACACAAATGTCTTGAGAACGCTAAAATAATTTATCAAATATGTTTTTTAGATTTTATTGTGTTGTCTATCGATGAATTTTTAGCCAAATGTAAGAATTTATTCAAGCAAAATTACGTTTGCTCGTCTGTACATTTCGGTTTTGTTCAGGAAAAATTTAAATGTTGCCAAATATCACTTTTAACTGCAATATATACAGAGAAAATGTACGAAAATACGGACAATAAATAAAAAGAAAACAAATTAAACTAAAATAACAAAAAGAAAATATCTATTTACTAACTGTATGAGCGGTATTTTTACTCCATATGACCTTTTTATGAGTCAAGTTTTACGCGAGACTAACATGAATAATGGATCCAGAGAAATATTTACATCGCTTGGTTTTTTTTTTGTTTTTTTTTTGTTAAAATATCCACCTATACAGGAATGAGAAATACGTAAAATGGTACAAATAAATGTGCCACGAAGACTATGAAAGAAAAAAAGAATTTTTATACTGTACTATCTGTTCTTTTTTTATGACTTTCTCTCATTCTTTCGACATATATATCCATTAAATTAACTATAGTATGAAAAGAGTTTTTTTTATTAAATCAGCTTAATCGAAACTGTCGTTAGAAAGAAAAAGGTGAGCATATAGAAAGAATAATGTATATAACAGATATATATACACACATAAATAGAAACAGTCAGCATTATCTTAAACGTTTGCTGAAGGAAAAAAGACCTAGAAGATTTCAATTATTCAAGATTGAAGGAAAATAAAAGTTTAACTCAATAGTTAATTTAGATATTCAATTGAAAGAGAGATAATCAGAGAAACATTGTAGATCACAACTCTTTTAGCTCGAATATTGTATTAATTAGTTTTAATCAAATTGAATTTTTCAACTATTAATTTAATAGTATCAACTAGTGATTTTTATAAGAAATTCGAGCAATATTTTTTATTGACCACTTAATATTTTAAATTAAAGTAGAAAAGGTATATGAATAAAATTCTTACTAGAAACAAAAGAGCAAAAATCACACTTGTTCTTCTCTTATTATTAAAATATATCATCTTTTAACAAATGTGTTTTTCACGTGTGTTTATACATCTTGATATATATATAAATATATACTCATGTCTCACGTGATAGATATAGTCTAGTCTTTAGTTCTTTTTCTCTACGAACACTAATCGATAATTAGCTTGATTTGAATTGTTAACACAGACTCGCAGAAATCGAATGATTAATTTTGTATAGAACTATAAAGATATCTGAAATTTTTTAACATATAGTAAAGAATAAATTGCACTAACTAATATCGCATTTCTCTCGATTTCTATCGATTCAAAAGATTTTCTTCAGTAGAAAATGTAGTTTTATAAACTTTATTTTTCTTAGATATTACATTTCTTTTTTGCAGTTTTGATGGTATTTGAAAGAAAATGATGTTTGATCTGATGGCTACTACAATGCCTAGATTGAACATTGCAGTTATATTTGTTATCTACCGTTTATTCTGCGAGTTTTTTTGTTTTTCTTCATCTAATAATCATGTAGTGTGCAAATATCGGATATAGAAGACTTTTTGTACAGCAGAAAACTCTTGATCACTGGTATATAAAGAAAATTTTTTATCGGATAAAAAGTGAAAGAAAAATACATTAACATTTAGTGCAGTTTATTCTGGATCACCTGTTAAATATGCACAGTTGATTCATTCTTCTTGATTCAGTACTGAAAAATCTAAATATATAGATAGACGTTTATTTATGCTTGATAATTATCGTCATATTTCATACCCTGTGAGCTTAATAAAAGAACTAGTTGAATAAAAATTATACTATGCTCATTATAGAAACAAAAGTTTAACTTTAAAATTTGTCTACAATAAGTTATGAGCCGATTTTACTCTACAAAAGATAAAAGTACATAGTCGTTTTCAGATCAATGCTTAACAAATACATTATCCTAGTTAAAACACATTATATATAAGTGTAGAATAACGTGTTTTAAGTCTGAAAAATATGATTTTTAAACTCAATTCTGGTAGTTATTAAAGTCTGAATCAGTTATTCGTATCAAGCTGATTCTCTACCGTTGAAACAACTAGCCTATCAACAGCTTATTTTATTTAATTATCAATCTCTCATCTATATTTGACTCTTTTTTCATCTACATAGTTGTCTTGTCTACTGCGATATCAATTCTCATTATAGATATATATCTAATAATAACATTGTTGTCATCATCATTTTTTTTTTTATTTCTCTCTCAAATAATATTCTTGTTGTTAGTATTAATTTTTTTTCTTTTTCGGTATTGATCTACAATAGAAGTGAAAAAAGAGACTTAAATTGATTAAAAATAATTGAGAAAGTAATACTCGACGATTTAAACTTATCATGGAAAATAATTGAAAAATATTACAACGAAAAAAAAAAAAATAAAATGAAAGGTAGAGTGTACTAATCTTTTTTTACGTCATTTTATACTTTGATGGAATAACTGCTATCGCTTCAAAATCTTATGATTTTAATTATTAGTTTGATTCATGCTTAGTTCATAACTCTATAAAGATTATTTTGAGATATGAATATGGAAAATATGTGCCCACAATATGTTTGTCAATTTTAATAATGGAATTTTATGATCACTTTTTTTGTTTCGAAAATAAATTTAAAATTTAAACGTATCCCAAATGAGGTAAAAAAAATTAGTTATACTTCGATTAAAGTATTTTTCTTTTCATATTTCGTTCTTACTTGCAAGAATTAACACTGAATATTACAGTTAGAACGATACTACTACTACTACTACTACTACTACTACTACTACTATAAGAAAATGTTTATACGTAGGATGCGTGAAAAAAACAATGTTTATGCTTAACTATATTCATAGAGAGTGAAGAAGATAAATATATTCAAAGCGAAAAGAAAAAAAATGATGGATAGTATTCGTGTCAGTAGGATCATTAACAATTTTGATTTTCAAAATAATCCAACTGTTTCAACATATATACGTCGTCTTACTATAGATTCTTTTTTAGCTTCAACAAAAACAGAAACATTTTTGACCAAAAAAATAAAAAATAAAGTTTTGAGTTATTGACATATACATGTTTATATTTATATATTATAGCAAAGAACAAATACCTTCGTAACTTTTTTTAACAGGTTTTTGTTTTTCGTTGATAAATGTGAAATTATATAGGTAGCCGTTTTGTAGTATTTTATTTTCATAGTAGCATTAATTGGTTAGAAATGTTTAAGATTGATCTCTTTCCCTTGTCAAAAAAAACTTTAATCAAGTTCGTCATTTTGATCAGTTTTCTGTTGTTGTTTTTCGAAATGTTTGTCGTGATACCGTGCATCATTTATTCTAGATACTATTAAACTAATGAAAATTTTTAAAAAAATGTTTATTTTCCCACGTATTCAAACATTTTTTTTATTTTGACTTTTAGATTCACATTTAATGCCTACGGAAACACCATCATCGACGACACAATCTCGTAACATAGCATTAGCACTCAGTGTTGAACAATGGGAATTATTACGTCGTTTAAGAAATAGTCATTTAACAAAAACACAAATAATTCAAGCGTATGATGAATTAGATCGACTCGATCGAGAACTAGGACAAGTATTTAATCAACAAATAGAACACGTAAGAGATGACACATTTATGGAATATCTGGTGAAAATATTGAGTCATCACATAAGAAATGACCCGAACATTCTCAGAATATTAGCTTTTTCAGTGAAGGCATCCTTCTTTATTCATAGTATTAGAAAAATGCTACTCAACTATTAGGTATTTATTTATTTTCTTTTAGCAACCACTACAGTCTCATTCTCATAATCAATCATCTCAAAAACGTTCTCCTACGATATTAAACGTTCATAAACCCAATGATGTTATTATTCAATTACCCAATGACGAAAATCACGATATAATAACAACAAATAACGATTATTCGACAACAAAAGATGTACAATTATCTCCATCATCACAACCATTATCTACAAATAAACGTTCTCACAACTCGATTCATAATGGTTTATTGTCATCATCGTCAAAAACATCGTCTACATCATCTTCAGCACAACAACAACAACAACAACAACAAAATGGAAATTCAAATAGAACACTAACAACTCCATCTCAGTCACAAATATTAACAACATCATCAACGGGAAATCCACTAGGATTATTATCACAGCATCGTGGAAATTACAATGGTGGTGTTTACTCACGTAATGTAACAAGTTCAAATAGTAGTACATGTAATGGAACAAATGGAGAAATTATCAATGAAAATGTTAACATTCAATCACCACATATTGCATTACCAGATCTAGAAGACGAAGCTCGAGAATTACAAGAATTATTGTCGTATGTTTTACTCTCTTCTGGATGATTTTATACACTAAACATTGTTTGTTCTACTTTAGAAAAGGAGATGTAGCAATTCATAATGAAATATCAGTATTTGTCTATAGATATGATTTAAAACAATCTCAAATAGCGAGGATGGCCGGTAAGTCACATTTATCGTTACAATGTACTCATAGTCAAATATTTTTATTTTTATTTTGCAGGAGTAAATCAAGCTTATGTTAGCAAATTTCTTCGAGGAGATTTATTTGATTTATCCGAAAATGGACGATTAGCCATTTGTAGATGGTATTTACGTTATAAGAAAATTGTCAATTATATGGGTAGATATTAAACAACTTGAAACATTGCATCGTTTTACACACGATGTTTCTCACATAGGTACGCAAAATGTTGCTGATATTGTAAATACGGTGGTATGTGAACCCTCAGCAAAAGTCATCAAGGTACAAACATTAGTCAAGATGATTTTCAAATACAAAAAAAAAAATTATTTTTTTACTTCAAGCTCGATACAAATTCCAGTCTCATGTCATTCGAAGCGCCGAAACGAACAAGATTTACATTTCGACCAGAACATTTGGATGTATGCCATTCTTTTTTTAAATACTATTTAATGATATTTTTTTAATACCCTTGCTTATTCAGATTTTAGAGAAAGCATTTATTGACAATCCTTATCCTGATCCACGTCGTCGTGAAGAATTAGCACGTGTATGTAATGAAGCACGTTCAAAAGCTGAAGGAACAGAAGTACTCAATGAAAGAGAACGCGTCACAGAACAGATTGTTACACATTGGTTTCAAAATAAACGAAAAATGACAAAACGAGGTAGATATTATTTGTCTTTTTTCGCAAATCAATTTGTTCTCGCGTTAATTTGACATGAAATCTTGTCTCATTTTAGCTAATCAAGATGAACATCTACCAATAACAAATACAGAAGGAAGTAGTTTAACATCGGTTAACGATTGTGGCACACTAGAATATGATAATAATTCAAATGAAGATGAACATGATTCCCCTAATTCGTTGTCACCATCGAACATCAATAATAATTCTAGTGGTACTAATACAGCTAACAAATCCAAACTAGACGTTTCGTTGAGTGAAACGAATAATGATGAATGCTTAGATCCCACTCAACTTGCTGCCTATCGTGCAATTATGAGTCGAATGTCGTTCTTGGATCCAATCAAAACCACATCATCATCATCGTATATTAAACAAGAACCATATGAAAATCCAAATTCTTCGGCAACATCACGTGATTCTAAATCTCCAACATCAGATGATCAACTAACATCGAGTCCATAAATTCAATTAACCATTTCTATCTTGATTATTTTCTTGCTATCTCTGTATGTTGATTCTACACTATCTGGACTGTTTTCTCCAACTGTTCTAGTCCATTTTGTATCTTCCTTTATGTTTTACACAAAACATTATGAAACAAGAGAGAAGCAGAGAGAGAGAGATCTTTTTTAAATGAATGATTATATTAGTTCATCGAGAAGAATGATTGTTTTATTCCTGTTTTTACAAAACGTGTTGTGAAAGAACTCACTTCTTTGTTCTGACATTCCAGACGCTTTTTTCAATTTCCATACATACACACACATATCATTTTTTGCAAAAAAAAATTATAAAATAAAAATCTCGTAGTCAAATAGATTTATTTGTATTTAAATAAAAATTTTCTATCCTAAAAGAAATGCTAGGAATTAATTAATGCGAAAGATATCTTTATTTTCTTGTTGTACATAGCATATTCAAATGTGTTTTCTCTCTTCAGCAGCAGTATATACCGGTTTTCTTTCACACAACTTTTTTTTGTACTTTTCTTTTCATTTTTCCGAGCAAAATAATAAAAACTGTATAAGTACACTACATAAAATATATCTGGACAATAAAACCATATGTGACATTCTCAATCCAACTAGAAATAGAAGACGTTCACTAACTCATCTGTAAAGAGTTGATCTATAAATTGTTTCACACATATAGACGGATATATAATCGATACTAATATTCAATGTATGATATGTGACAGTTTCCCTTGACCAGTAATTTTAAGTTAGAATGGAATTATATAAAATTAAAAAAGTAATTTAAACTAGTTTTTATACACAATATCATTCAATGTATTCGTCTATAAATATAAAAGATTCAAGTCAATAACTATAAATTAAATAAACAGATGAGCAAAACGATTAAAGTTTTTTGTTTGCGTAATGTAATTTGTTTTCTGAATTAATCAGTGGTACGATGGACGATAACTTTTTTTTAAATTTCATACTATTTCTTATAACGTCATTGGTCAGACACTTAATGATCAAAGCATCGCGCTATTTCTTTCGAATAATAATCAATGATATATATATAACGTACATTTTTCTTATCACATTTTGAATGAATTTCATTCACAGCCACATTGAAAACCTAGAAAATTTCAAACTCTTAGTTCCTTTGAAAAATGGACCTGTTCTTGTTTTCATAAAAGTAAAATACTTTGTTGAGCTACTGATGAAATAGCTTCTGTTCGAACTTCTTCAAACCATCGACTATTTGTTGTTGTTGTTTCCTCAATAAAATTCGAGATATCATCGTATCGCTCTTGATTTCTTATCTATATGTGAGAATAAATGTCGACACTAACAGAAAGATCCAGAACATAGTAAACAGACCAAAACATTGTGTATTGTCCAGCTAGTATGATATCTGTAACAGCGTCATTTATATTTTAAATTCATTGTTGTTAATTGAAATGTTTGAACTTTTTCTAAAATGTCATTTTCACTTTTTTTTAAAAATTTATTCCATTACAATTATCTATTTTCATGAATGTCTGTCTGTAGATTAGATCAGATAATAGACATGTTTGTATTTGTTTTATCATAAAATAATATAATTTATCATTTTTTATGGTATATAGTATGTTTCGATTAGGATTCTATTCGAGAATAATTTTCAATGTCACATGACAAAACATAATCGTCTGAGTTTGAAACATAGAGAACATTCTTCAATATCAATAGTGGCATTATTAGAATCAGTCAATAACTAAAACAATAAAATAAAGACATAAATACCAACACTATTTGATGTTGAACGATTCAATAAAAATGAATCAGTTTTCAGATCATCTGTCAGATTCATACCGATAATAAATAGATATTTCGGTGCGTCATATATGATAAGTCGATATCATCGAGCTGATTGGATAAATCAGTGCTGATGTTTATAAACACTATATTTTGACAAAAATTAGTTTAAAGATCAGAATAAAACGATATGGATGACAATTAAAATCCTCTTCAATGCAACAATACATAAGATCTAATATAACTCTTAGATACTTGCAACGCCGTATAATACATATAGAGTACTGTACAGTGAAACTTAACAAATAGTTTTAATTAAAAATAAACTCAAGGTGGTTCAATTTTTTGTTTTTGCTCATATAACATTACCATCTAGGATAGAATTAGACTAAAAATAGAAAAAAAGAATATTTCTGTATTTTTATCTAAAAATGATTCAAATTTGCTTCAACGATATCGATGACAGTGCGCCTGTTGTATGTCCACGAGTACTCTGTAGGTAAAAAGGTGTCTTGTATCAAACATATTTATGGAATCAACGGACATATTATACCGGTAGAAGTTTGCTCATTTTATTAACATTTATATGAAATACACGATTCGTGTTAACAATTTATACGGAAAGTAAATAAGATTAATTCTAAAACTGATAAATCATTAAGAATAGATATTTACAATTTTAGCACTGGTGTGTAAGTTACGTGTACGATTACAATAACTAGGATCTGAAAAACATCCTAAATATAACCATATATAGCATTAAATCATTGATACAGTAGGGAATAACGAATAAATGTAGACTTTATTATTGAACCATTGAAATACAGAAAGATTGTAGTCTAGTAGAAATATTAGTTAGTTATTGGTCAGCTAACAAACAATTCATTTAGCTATTTTGTCGCACTAGCCAAACTTCTAACTATCAGCCATAAGTAAAATCAAATAGAATTTTTTAGCTTGTTCAAATTTCCAGTGCATATACCCGTACTTTCATCCAATTAGCATAATAACGTAAAACTATAATAACTGTAGTTTGTTGAGGCATCATTTCTAAAAATAGTACTGAAGAAAACAATAAAAATTATATATGTAAAAAGCATGAAACTATTTTTTAAATTATATCCCAGTATGCCACCACACTTTGATTAGGATCATTTCAGTCATGCGACGGTAATTCATTTATTCACATCGAATCAATTTCACAACGAACAGATAATATTTGGTGATGAGTAAATCGATGATGATTCACTTTGTAGATGAAAAATATACAGATGTAGAAGTGATTACTAGATATTCAAGTGGCTTTACTTATTAAACTCTTGCAGTATACTTACACTAAAGCATTTTATCGATTGCACAATAGCATCTATTAGCGTCTTTTATAGTTAAATAATCTATTTGATTATTTTTCAAACAAATCCATAACGTTTAGTTTTAACTGTGACTTAAGTACACTCGCTTAGTGATGCACTATGGTGCATTTAACAAACGATAAAACAGTTTTATTTACTTTTAAGACATGTGACCAACATATTCAATTGAAAAAAAAAAAACTTTCAATACAATAATGAAACAAGAGTAACATCTACACAAGTAAAGTAGAACTGATCTTGGTTTATCTAAGTCCCATTTTAACTTTTTCTTTTACTTTCTTCTTAACAACATCTGAAAATAACCACGATAATTGTGAAAGGCTTTAGATCAATATAGACTAAATCAAACTTACCCATATTTCGATCTTTCCATTGACTTTTTCGAAGTTTAATTGGTCGATTACCGACATATTTTCCTAAAGTATGAAGAAAAAAGTATTTGATTAAGAAAACTATTGAATAATATACCTTACCATTCATTTCTCTCATAGCTTTAATAAAATCATGTGAATCTTTGAAACTAACAAAACCATAGCCTCTTGTTTTGCCTGTTCGTTTATCACGTATTACTTTTGCTTTTTGAAATGATGGATATTTACTAAATGCTCGTGCTAACACATCATCGTTCACTTCATTTCCAAGATCACCGCAAAATAGACGAAAATCATCTAGAAAATTAAGTTTTAATTAAGAAACTTGAATGATATCGAAAAGTTTATTTTTAAAAAAGCATACCGGTGTCCCAGTCTGCAAGAGATTCATCTTCCCATGTTTGGCCAGCAGCCATTCTTACATAACGCGCCTTTTTTGAGACTTTTTTTCCTTTTTTCTTTCCAGAACCAGATTCAGTATCCATGTCATCTGAAAATAAGAGAATGATTATTATTGTGAAGAAAAGTCAAACATTAAACTTACCGAACGATTCATTTGCTTGAGACATTGTTACAGATTTCGAATTTGCGGATGTGGTGCTTGATTTTTCATTCTTTAGTGTAACGAGCTGTTCTAATTTCTTTTGAACTTCAACAGGACTCACCGCGACTGATGGTGTGCGAGAAAATACTAGATCTGGTTTTGAAGGCGTCACTGGTTTTTCAACGGATGATGAATTTTTAGAATATAATAGTGGTTGCGCAGCAAATGTTGATGCTGGAGTATTTGAGGAGGATATTTTAGATGCTGTCGCTGCAAGTGGAATAGATCGCGGCGGTGATTGTGCCTTCGGTTGAATTTGTGGTATAGAAACTGGAAGTGAAGCAGATTTGATCGAAAACGCTGATGTTTGTTGTGGTACACGTTGTCGAAGTTGATGAGGTACGAATAAATTTCCTCTTAATCCTGAATTCGATCCAGGATTAGAAAACGATGGATTGACTGATTGTCTTATTGGATTTGAAGTTGTATCAACTGGCATTGGCAATGGAGGAGGCAAATGAATTGGCTGACTAAATGCAACAAAATTCGGAGGTGGTGGAGGAAGCGGGGGGAGTGGTGGTGGATTGGCTGTTGCGAACGAAACAAATGCTTGAGTATGAGAACCTGGAAGAATAAAATAACTGTTGATGAACGAAACCATATGCAAAATAAAGAAGTTTAGTTACCTAACATCTGTCCAAAATTAGGCACAGTAAGATTGTTTGTTTGTGGTGGATTTACGTACATATTCACGGGAGCCATGGATGAAGATGGTTTCGAGGCTGATAAAGCAGCTGTTGCAATCTCAATTTCAAAGCTATGTAAAAAAATAGAAACTAGCATTTATCATATAAGTGTCATGTGCAGTTCTTACCGGTTCATTTCCGCATCAAAATTTGCAAATTTCTCTGCTGCCATCGTTCGATTATATTTTCGGTAGAACCAACACACTTATTCACATAGAAAAAATAATATATCTAAAAAAATTCAAAACGATTCAACTTTGACTTACAAAGAAATACTACTTTTAAGAACTATTGTAGCTCGTTTGAACACTTGCTAAGAGGTAGCTAAACTAAATACTTTAGAATAATTTTTTGTAGTAAACGAGAATCTTCTAAATCTACACTAACAAAATAAGCTCCAATCCAATTTATTTTTGGGAAGACCGGCCCTTTTGTCTCTGTTCTTCAATTAATTGAGATTTAAGTTGATTTTTAGCCTTTTCTACCTCGAAAGTCATTATTTCGCAGCGCTTAGCGAGTTTGTATTGACTACTTTGTTCAAAGTGCATCTATAAATAAACAAGATAGTTAGCTCAGCATTCCCGATCAGAGAGAGGTCGGGGGTGTTGGCCCCTCCCTAACAAAATTGTTAGACTTTCTGGCAAAATCTTTGACGTTTTTCCATCTGGAACTTTCTACTAAAAACTTTTTTTCGCCAGCCAGTCACTTTTTGCGAAGCAAAATTTTTAAATCCTCTCGTCCCTAAGAACAACCGGAAACCATGAACTGGCTGTTACTTTCCTTATCAATAAATCAAAAGTGAGTTTACAGTCAGAATTGATAGTAAATAGTTTTTGTATAATTTGTATTTCTACAAAATACATCATTGTTAATTTCAGTAAGTACCAATCAGCACGTTAAGAAGAAAACTTATACATAATTGTAATAATGATGTGTAATCAGATCATTCAATATTAGAAAAATATAACTTTAGTTTTCAAACTGTAAAAAAGTATAACAATATAGTGTACGAAAATTTCATGCAGAACAAATAACTCTTCGAGTTCATAGGCTACGGAAAGAAGTAAAAGAAATACATACAACGTAGCATATGATAACAAAGGTCAAAAGTAAAAACGATAAATAATGTACAGAAAACTTATGACACAAATGACGAGACACAACCGGCAAAGAGTTATGTTTTTTGCTTTGAAAAACAAATAAGTATAAAGAGTAGAAAATATCTTATGTCGGCCAATTTGTTCTACAAATTGGTATGGAAGAAACAAGTAAAATGAGGAAATATTCGATTTTGATACAATCAAAACAGCGACTAAAAAACAAAGCAGCGATTAAAAAATTTAAATGATAAAAGTTATGGAAACAATAAAACATTAAACAATTGAGAAAACTTTCTCTCAAGAAACAGTTAATGTTCCCTTTTGCGCTCGATTTGAAAAATTATTATTTCTCGTACACATCACATGATATATTCCTTGTTTTATCTCCAGAACAGCACCTAAAAATAGGACAAATTAATTAGTTTATATGAAAAAGACTGATATTTACCTTCAAATGATGCTGGCGCAACATTTAGATCAATGTCCAAAGAAGAACGTGTTTCAATTGTATAATTACGGTTGTTTTCTTCGGAACAGTCAGCAAGTCGTTGACAACTGAAGAAATAGACAACAATAAACTTAGTTGACAGGAAAAATTACAACTCAGAATACTAGCAGATATAAAATAGTATTATTAGTCCTGGCTCTATGTTTAATTACATTGAATATTTGAAAACGCAATCTGAACAAATATTTCCTACCGATAATATCCAGATGAAGCAAAGTAAAGGGCTAAATCTTCTTTTTTTATATTATCATTTGTTTTCTGATATGGAGACCATCGAACTTTAGAATTTGACCACAATGTTGTCATCTCGTACGGATAAGGATAATTTTCATCTCGACTACGCATTTGCAACATATTTGAACGATCGGTACCTAAAGAAAGCAAAAATGTGGTGGTACTATTTGTTCATTACATTAAAGTAGAGAAACAAATTCTTACCTTTCTCGCCTTCACCATCGTTACCCTCTTGTCCATCTACAGAAGGTAACCCATTTTTATGTGTATTGGAGCCTACAAGAAATAAAAATAATGTGAAAATAATTACATAAACTTCAACACGTGAAAAATACTAACCGCTCCATTGCATATGTATTAAATCACCTTGACTTATAATTAAATTTCTCGGTGTAAAATCATACTCAATTGCTGGATAGGTCTGAACAATATTTCCTCTCTTTCCCATTACATTCCAGTTATAAATTGTTTCTTGGTCTTGTATTCCAGCTAGAGGAAAATGTAAAGAATAAAATCGATTCAATCATAAATTTCAAGAAATATCAACGCGTACATGGACGTGGTTGAATTTCAAAAATATGTGTACGATCTTGAAATGTTCGACCAAATTGAGCGGTATTTATATTTATTTTTAATTGAATTCCATTATCAACAGTAATGAGCGGATCTGTTCGTATCGGCGACTTTTGACTGTAAAAAGATAGAGAAATGGAACGATAACTTTATTGATTAATATCTACGTTTCAACACATACTTGTTATTTTTTGAATCAATGTTGAATATATCATAGTCATAAGTCGATATGTTGTAACGAATACGAGCTAAACATCTTTTTATTGTGTTTGATGGGAATGTGGGTAAATTCCAGTCGAATGACATTGGTTCAGCATCATCTTTTAAACCTAAATAATTTGATCTTGTCCATGATGCCTGTATACACGATGGTACAGCATTCAACACAAGACATTCTGCTTGACCAGACATTGTATCATGAGGCACTAAAATAATAGCAGTTTGTAACAGAAAAGCAAGTAAATAGGAAACATTCGTTTATTTCTACTTAAGTTTACGTCACTTTTAAAAAACAATCATAAATTTTTTTTAATATCTTTGACCCTTTCACTGTCTCTCCTGACTACTTAGAGGGCATAACAGTTGAAAAAAACAATCAGTTTTGGTAAAACATTATTTACATGCCCACTTGTATGTGAACTGATTATTTGTTGCTTGTTCACATGAACTTTGTGATGTATATTCTATAAAAAAAACAAAAGACATATTGTATATTTTAGAAGAACCGTAACGTTACTGAAAAAGATGTGTGAATTCTTACAACACTACTCTCAACGTCTCTCCTATGACTTCCCTTCTGCATAGAAGCGACTTAAATACTTGTCATGGATTGCTTACGTGTAGCTTTCTCAAGATATGAATACAATAGCAACCATTGACTGTTGTCTGCAATACATTGAGCTTGATTATTGAATTTTGATGACGTTCGAGTACCATTTTGTATTTTAATACATTCATAACGCGGTTTCACATTAAAACTGTCTTGCTGATAAAAACTGTAAAAAATCATATATTGAGACTAATTATTTATTTCTTGAAAGTGAACCTCATAAAATGAGCTAAACTTGACTCAATGGCGACTACAAGGTTTTGATCCTAGAACGGGATATATGTAGGTTTGTAGAAGAGGATTTCCTCCACCTCGTGGTGTATATATTGTCGAGTCCTAATGTACACTGTCAGAGAAAACTAAACTTAATCCCTCTTTTTTTAGACTTTTTTAGAAATTTTTTTAATTTTTGAGTTAAATATTGTGCATTATAGAGTAAAGTGTTCTCTACAAAATAAGACTGCTCCCAGTTCTCCAAGGCCTTCTGGTAAGGCACAAATTTTTTAAAGTTTGCTACTTTACGCTAAAAAAACGCTATTTTTTTACTTTCGAAACGTTTTTCTCTTTCATTCAGTACTTGATAAAGTTTTGAAACAGTCATTCTTGTAGAGTAAAGATTTTTTCACAAAATGAGATGTCTCCCACCTCTTCACCATGTTTTCTAATGGAGTTATGATCATTTTGGACGTTATATCACAAGTGGAACTTTTTCAGCAAAATGATCTTTAATTGAATCTTTAATGAGATTTAATTTTCTCTGACAGTGTACATTAGGATTCAACAATATATACACCACTGGATAGAGGAAGTCCTCGTCTACAAATCTACATATATCCCGTTCTGGGGTCAAAAATCATCGTGAAATTTGTAGTCGCCTTTTATTTAAATTTATTGAGAATAACTTGCCTGCAAGCGGAAGTGTTGCTTGTCAAAATAGCTATATCATTCCACGGGCTAATATACGGCCAATAATCACGTTCTTCTGGGCACTCGTATCCATAACGAGTGCCAGCACGATTTTGTCTGGTGTAAATAGCCGAATTACCTGATGGATCTATTTCTGCTGTGAAGAGCCCTTAAAAATGCATACGAATTAAATAAGCTTTATTTAAGGTACAAGAAAGAATCTCTTGAGTCTTATTGCCTGTTTCTTTACAGTTGCTAGATTGTGACATTCGTTAAGTTTATTATTCTTTTTGTGATCGACACCTACTGGCTCAGTTTTCTTCAAATTTGTGCTAGATGCTTTAACGTTTCTTTTACTTACGTTTTTAAAAAGGCAATTGCTAGCTTAAAAATCAATTTTTTTATAATTAGCTAATCACAACTTTTTATTTAGAAACAAATATTTTCTATACTGAGTTTAAAATTATATTTAGTGCCTAACAATTATCAAAAAGTTTTTACACAGGAGCATTGGCGGATCCAGAAAAATTCCCTCATTCTCACCAGAAGTGTGGCTACACCCATTATAAATCCGTCACAGCATAGGAGCATGACTGCAGTAAAATGTCAAAATTTTTTCGAAATATGGTTCGTTCTGAACAACTAACTAAAATGTGGTTCTTCCAGACGACTGCGTATAGAGGCATCGTTAGTAACACTCTTTTCAATGATTGCTCATTTCCCATAGGTTGCTATCATCACTGATTATCTTCTGATTTTGTCATATACTTTTACATTTGCTCGAGATCTTCACAGATTAAATCCTTATGTGCTCTGCCCACAGCATCATTGCAATATTCTTCCTGCATATTATGTCCTAATTTTGTTGTTTTTACACACCTTTGTTTCTTTCTCGATTATTACATCGATTATAATAATCCCACGTTTCATGCAGACGACGATCTGTGTTCACATCATTTTGTTTGCCTTTTTGATCGGATGAAGGGTTCGGTGTATAACCTTGCTGCAGTGTATTAACACCGTTACGAAATTTATCTAAAATAACAGATTTTGCTCAAAGCAAGGATTAAAAGAGCAATTAAATATTTTACCCAAATCTTGTTCATCAATGTTTCCATTTTGACACATATACTGTAAAATAATCTCACATTTTTGTTTAGTTGGATTTGTTGATTCATCTCCTCCACAGCCGTGCTGATTGGTCCAAATAAATCTTAAAATAGTTTTTCCAACTTTTCCACTTTGAAAAAATTTCTAAAAACGAATAAAAAACAAATGGTAATCTAGCATTTTTTTATCTCTAAAACAATCTCAGCGTACCAAATAATATTGTAGCGAAGAATTTGTTCCATAAGGTTTATCTGTTGCGTCGGGAACATTGTAACCGCCTTTATTGTTATTCTAAATAAATGTACACCAACAAGTTTTATTAAAAGAAAAGATATCGTGCACAACATTAAAGAGTTGAACCTGTGAGTTAAAGGCGTTTTGAGCATTTGTTCGATCTGCACTCTGTTCATTAACACGATTGTTTGAACCAGGTGGAAAATGTAGATAAACATCTGCTGATACATAATTCAAAGAAATTAAGATAAAGAGATAAATATTAATCATTTTAATATATAGAGAGAACTTTTAACAGCACCGAAAGTTAACACAACGGCTTCGGTAAAAGAGCAATCGTATCGGTATGATATGAGTAATCGCCTCCTTTCAAAAAACATGATGACTCATGTTTGATACACTGTAATTTGCTATATTACAACCAATTGGAATCTATTAAAGAACTCTCTTCTAGTCAAGTTAAGCTAGACAAACAACGACTCTTTAGTCGAATCACAAAATCATAACTTCAGTACAACAAATTTTGAAGTAGGATAAATAAAATTAAGGTAAGTTTTCTATTAAGTTGTCAAGACTGAAACTCAGAAGGTCATTTCATCAGTATGAATATTCTTAATTCATGCATAGAACCAAACTTAAGCTTAGACTTACAAGTCAATGTTTAGTTTGTTTTAAACAGATTGTAGAATAATTGGTAGTATTTTGACCGGAAATATGTTGCCTACAACGAGAGTTGCTAGTTGTACTCCATTTTGACAAAACAATTTTTTTTACAACTTTTCGGTTAAGTTGACACCTAGAGAGGCTAGCCGATTACTTTATCATCGGCGGCGACAGCGGAAACTTTCAATACCTAGGATTTAGTTCACGAGGTAAAGTAGAGTAACTTTCATAACGACTGATCACTATACTGATGAGGTAGAGGAGTAGGCTACAGAATGATGATAAAAGGAGATACGCCAAGAACGGAACAGAATTCATCAATGCTCCATATAATATATTTTAGAGATAAATATCAATATAATGTTTATTTTTGTCTTGTATACATTATTCTAGTTGACACCACAGAAAAGTTCTAATTTAATTTTCAATAATTCTTTTTCAGATAGTTTTGAAAAGGTTGTGAGAATTTTTTTTATCAGTGGCAGTTAAACTTTAAAAAAAATTCCGCCTAGGGCGGCGGCGTCAGCGGCACGACTCACATTTCTATAGAAATGTGAGTTACAAAAGTTTGATTTCTACAATTAATAAAATCAGTGGGAGTCGACCTTGGTACCGTTCAATTAGAAGACGAAAGAATGACAGCAAAAAGGAAACACGATCTCAGCATTTTTAGCGGGCTCCAGCTACAAAAACTAGTATTCTGTGATATCTCGATGATTCTCGACTAGGATCCGCACAAGATCCCGAATGGGGTTTTGCGAGTTCTCGTCGGAAAATTGTCGGGAATGAGGACATAGGTAGTTACACAGTTGACTTAGATAACTGTGAAAATGTCTTAAGTCAATAGTTAACTCCAGCTCACGTTCGATGGAGTTAAGATGAACTTAAATCAAAATGATGACCTGATGAAGTGCTCACTTAAGTTTCACAGATAATTAAGAATATTGATGGAATGATCTTCAAGTCTAGTAACTAGCATTTACGTGGTTTTACGTTAATTGTAGAACGTTATGGTCCATTTTCAGTGCTACCTCAACTCTTTTTGGTGATAGCTGTCTTTGTATTACTGAGAAACAGGTATTATGGTAGGTGTTATTTTAGTCTGAAATTGGGATTTTTTTTAAAATAAACCACTTTAAATTTTTTTCAACTTAATAACGTTTAATATTGATGCAGTTTTGCTTATTGAAATATTTAGAAATTTTTTTCGTAAAAAGATGTATGTTAGAAGATTAATCACTTGAAAAGCACAAATATTTTGCTTTGTATTTATAAGAGAAGCTCTAGTAATAATAACTGATTAATACTATTAATTGATTTCGACCTTAAACAAAAATCTTTTCTTTACTTTTCTTGCCGAAGAAGTAATATTTTGTTTTCCTTCTCTTTCTTATCAAAACATTTAAGAACATTTTTTATTGTTTTTCTTATTAATATCTTATATTTTCATAAAATAACTAAAAAAACTTCCGACATATATAGAAGCACAAAAAAAAGTTTATTCAGAAGAATATAGTTCGCATGCTCTAAATTAGCTTTTCTATTGTTGTTCTATTTATTTAAAATAACAAAAACTGCTTAGTTTTTCGTTTACCCAGTCAACATGATACATGATTTTAATATTTTCTATGTATACAATATAACTAACTGCCTGCAAGTCCAAAATAAACTAAAAATTTTTTTAATTTAATATGTAGAGAATGTGGAGAAGAAAAAGTATCTGATTTGAGAAAAAAAAGAAAGTATAACATTTTCTTCTCCCAACAATCATGTTTGCATTTCATCTTAATGTTATTGAGAAGTATTTCTCGGATCGGAACAAAAAAAAAGTGTTTCTCGATATTATATACTATATACGTTCAAAAGTAAACATATTGAAGTTTAAATGGAATTCATAAAAAACAAAACGAAGAACAAAAAGAAAAAACATAAAAGAAAATGTAATTGAGTTACTTTAGAAGATGTGTAAAATTTTCACCTGCTTTCAAAGAAGTTGAAAGATATAGATAATAAGTATTATCATTATCATCATCAACAATAACGACAATAGATGAAGAACTGATTAGTTATAAAAAAAACACTTTGAAAACGAGTTCACATCGGATTATATCTCGTCGGTTTTGTTCTCCTTAAACTAAAATAGACTTCCATCAGACACAAAAAAAAAAAAGATTTGCAATAATAATAATAAAAAAGAAACTTTTTGCTCAACACACAAACACACACATACTTCTCTTCGTTTTTTTTGGCATTATAAACTTCTGCGTTTTGTTTTTGTTAACTATAAAATTCTTGAAGTTTTCATCGGTTAAAAATGTATGGAACAATTATGAAAAAGATATGAGTAATGTAATTACAAGCATGCAGGTATTGAAAATAAGATTTATTATCGATCATACATTATTTGTATTTCTTACATAACACTCGTCTTCTTAGCTAAATGTCCGATGTATACAAACAAATTGGGATTTCTTAGCTCCACCACTATCATCCATATCGGGTGATATAGTGAATAAATAATAGTGAACTATGTACTATTTAAGGATGGTTTTTCAGTATGATCTTCAATATTCTTTTAGTTTTGTCCCTCTAACTTGTCCTCACTACCACAGAAAAGATCAAGACTGGATATCCATGAAACCCTGAGATATACTACTTACAAGGTCCAAGGAGCCGATTTTTGGCGCCACCTGCCGAGGAAGAACGCTCCTTTCCTAGCTTAATCTAATATTTGAAGTAGAGTGAAATCAGCTAGTTTAAAGTCTCACTTTCGGTTTTCAGAATATGTGACTAGTGAGCACCTTCGTCACACTTTCTCGATCATTTTTTGTGAAAATCATATTTACAATCACTATTCGACTTTCTGTCACGCAAGGTTAAAAACGATGCCCACGCTGAATGGATTATCTAAAAAAGCTGAGAGTGGTCTTGAATGGAAGCCAACAGACGGTGCCCCAAAATGATAAAAAGAAAAATATATCTTGAGAAGAAAAATCTGAAACAAAACTTAAAATTACGATTTTCACATTAAATGTCACGCGAAATTTTGGATTTTGTTTTATCTGTAACTCTCTGATTTTTTGGACGTTTGAGACGAAACTTTGCTTCTTTGATCTGCTCGTTGTAGCCAACTACTGGCGAGAAAAGCAGCATCTGAGAACTTACGGCTCGAGAGAAAAGTGAGAATAAGCTTGAAATTGTCATGCGAGATTATTTCGTGAATAACTGCGTTATAACTAAAGACAGATCGAACTTATTATATATCAATCGAACCCTCATTGAAAGCGCTATCGACCTCACTATGCGGTCAAGTCGGACTGTCTCTGTTCGAGCAGGAAATTCATTAAGATGGGCGAATGACTAAAAACTTAAGGTTTTTAGATCTAGCTGCCCTCACAGGTGTCTGAGCATGTCGCTCATGTATGTCTCTACATCCGTCCACTGAGACCTGTCAAATAGTGTATCATACTTGCACTTCTATGCCATACACAAAGTTTTTTTCCCAAAGAACTTCAAGGATCTAGACTAGTTCTGTGGCGAATCCGAGTGTCTCGATCATATTGAAAGCGATATTCGAGAAACTTTTTTCCTGTTATCATCTCATGTGATACAAAAAAAATGTACGATTCGGTTTCTCTATATTTGACAATTTTTTTCGTCCATTTTTTCTCTAAACGGTACAATGGAATTGCAATTGTCCTCTATCAGTCATGGTATAAGAAGTGGATCTGATCTGGTACTGTAAAACGCTGCGCAACATTAAGAAATACTTCTTATTCAGTATCCGATGTTATTGAAAAACATTGCTGGATCGGAATTACGCTTAGAATAAAAAAATAAACATCCACTTGTGCAAGCTATTGAAGTATCAATTTACTGTCTAGAGTATTATGCATGTCGTCTACATTCCGCCTCTCTTCCGTCACGCACAAGATCGTGTTCAGAGATTTTGATGTTATGGAAGACTTTCTGGTTTATCAGCTGAAATAAGGTTGATATTTTGACCATCTGGCGAGAGAATTATTTGAGTGAACTTTATTTCAATGAAGAAGTAATTCTAACTTTATCTCTGATTAAATGTTAAGCAAAATTTATTTGCTTTGTTAATTCTGTTAATAGGCTTACTACTTAAAAAGTAATTCATCCAATGCCAAGGTTTAGACACAAGTCCAATACATCTTATGCTTGAACATATACCGGTAATCGATGAAGACGAGGTTGCTAGTGGGGAAATAACGAATGGGACTACGTCGAATCTTCGTCAAATCGGACCGTTTCGTTCATTGTCTGCAAAACGAACAAAAGGGACAAATCAACCACGACGCGTCTCTTTTAATGATGTACCCATTATACATGAGGTACCGTCGTTTGATCTGATGCGTAATTCAAATTGTGAATCACATCGTGCTTGGACATACACAGGCTCTAATTCTTCTAATACGCCTTTAAATGATTCTATGACGAATATCCTCCCATCAACATTCAGTACGAAGCTACATGCTAATCGTATCAGTAGCGCGTACTACAATAACACGAGTAATGTGCGAAATCGACCAGACCTTGCCCTAAACGCTACCGTACCGTCTTTTGGTGATACTAATACGCGCCTGACAGAATGGATGTTTAGACCAAAAGCTCCAAGAATAATAACAACTGGTACCACAGATGATACAAATGGTACAAATGATTCAAATTCTGTATCGTTTAACGCTACATCTAGATTACAAGTTGAAAGAAACGAACGATCTCCATCACCAATGACTCCTATTATCGTAGTAACATCAAATGATTCGAAAAATCAAGAATATGAAATGGATTTGACAGAGACCAAATCAGATAATACCACAGACATTACTATAAATAACAATATTAATGAGTCAATAACAACCAGTATGCTCTCAGATTCTCCACAAAAATCGATTATCCATAACAATACGTCTACTCTGAGATACAGCCTTCCACACTCTGTTCTATATAATAATCCGTATATATTAAATATCGCCTCTCCCTCAAACACTTGGAAAAGTATATCTGATCCATTTGGAAGTGCACCATCTTTAGTGTCATCAAATGACAATGAGCATAATGTCAACTACACGTATCGATCAGTAATAACTCCCGTTATTTCAGATAGTCATCATCCGATGAATGTGGTATCCATTCCAATCACTACCACATCCGAACAACAACAACATCCTAATAATAATCAACGAAACGTTTCGTTCGGATATTCTACTCAACAGCAACCATCTTATGTCTTTAGGGAAAGTACACCATCTGAATCGAGTGTGGTCACTTATACATCTATATTATCAGCAAATATTGAAAATTCCATTTTATCAGCAACAAGTGTGCAACAACAACAGCCAGTAATTAGAAATGGCCGAATTCGCTCTGCAACGTTACCAACAGCAGTACGGTCTACGAGTAATACAAATGATATCTCGGCTACGAACAGCACGTACAATAATGTGTCCATAACGGCCCTAACCACTCAGCCAAGTAGTACCAGCACATCACTACCAATCACAAGTACGCTTCCTTCACGTAACTTTCATACAACAACTTCCACAATAGTTGCTCCTCCTCCTCCTACTCGCATATCGTCTGCAATCTCCAGTTCATCGAATATTCTAAATCGAACAGTTTTGCGCCCCACGACAATTGCGTTTCAATGCAATACACCCTATCAAACTATGCCCATTGTTAGTCAGTTTTCGAGTAAGGACTCAACAGTGACGAATTCTAGCACTGGCCAACAAACACCATCATCGATGAAACAGATGCCTATTCAAAAAATGCCACACAATCCACGATTCATGCAACGACCAAATATTCCTATGACTGCTTCGTCATCAACCGCATCCATTAAGCATCCAGTATTTGCAAATGCTATGGCTAATAGCAACATTGGAGAAAATAGTGCAAATTACCTTAAAGCATCATCAACCACAACAGCTGCAGCAGCCATGCAACGAGCTCGTTCGGCAAATGTTTTTCGCCGATCGCCCGTCGATGCATTTGGAAACGTCACAACGTTAAATAATAATTTGAATACAAATTCAATAAAACGAAATCCAAATGTTCGACAAACGTATGGTTCATACTATATGCATCGAGTTCTACTACCAACAACAACAAATTAAGGTTTTTTTTTTCGATAATTGTGTACATTTATTTGTTTTTATAAAAGATCAATGTTTTGGGTTTTACCAGTCCGACATTTCTTCTACCTTAATATTTAATTTTCTGTGGAAGGTGTACAGTAACTTACCATCACAGATACTAACTTCGAATCTGTTAGCACAGCCATTACACACTGTAAGGCATGAAGGTTTTTCATCATTCTGTAAAGATTCATCCCTTCATATGATATCTAAATCAAAACCACTTGTATCAGACGCCGTTAGATTTTAATACTATGTTAAATACGTTGTATTTTAGAAATGCTATCATATCTAGGCAAGCAATGAATGTGCAAAACCAAAACATGTTTCTTGCAACGGAAAAATTACACACGATACTCAAAATCAGACATGGATAAGTCAAATCAAAAATGAGTTGACCTGTGGACTTGATTTGATATATTAACTTCAGTCATGCTGTGCATATGTCTGTGTGTGTTACGTATATGCCATTTCCTATGATTTGCTTTCAAGTTATGTTAAGCTCACTTATAACTGTTCTTTTATAATTATATATTGAAATATGAGAAAGAAACATCGTACTTTAACGAAGAGCAGAAGCTCATGGTCAAATCAAATAAGTTAGTAAGACAAAAATGCATGACCTACCGCCTAAAATATCCAAATATTCAGCAAAGACTTTTTATGTGCTAGTCATGAAATGTGTTTTGGTTTATTTTACTTGTAGTATAAATAACAATCATTTAACTTTACAAAACACGTAGTACTACTCAGTAATATTGTCACAAATGGATGTCACCGTCTTATAATATTTTTGATCTGCAGGACTCAAAAGAACGTTAATCACTTTTTCTGATTTATTCTATCGATTTTCTACATATATAGTTACACGGAAGTCATCTTTTTGGTTCATTCATTTATCTAGAAATAATTTAGAGAAATCGGATTGCTCATAAATACCCTTGTTGCATAAAACATTCTTGTCGACGTTCATTAAAGAACTCTCGTACTGCTCGTTACTTCACTTAGAATAAAGACGTTCCCTACGTAAGAGAGAAGGCTTTTAAGGACGTGAAAAGTAAAGCAAAATACCACTTTAGATTATATCTTTAACTATAATAGTTGCTCTCATCCGCATACACACGCAAGATACTTGACATAATTTACAATTATTAATTAACTATTTGAGGATTGACTTTCGTTCTTTTTCGAACTCTCAATCAGTAGATGATTTACTACTTAAAAGAGAAAGATGATTGTTTGCATAGTTTTATCCTTCAATCATCATGAACGACGAGGCATATTGTTGGTTACGTACTTCAATTTCATTTTCTTTCTCTCCCCCTTCAATTCAAAATAGATATATTCAGGTGACGTTTCTTCTTCGTTTTTTTAAGCTTTTATTTGTTGACAAAAGCTTATACGGATCGATCTCTGACCAAATATGTGTGAATTTTAAACGCTAATTTTCTCTATTCTCAATAATGATGATGATGATGGACATTACCATTGATAAATTTTATTTTATTTCATGTACAGCAAAAGTGTAGAGACGAGCCTTCTTGGTTTCTAAAATCAAACTTCTATTCAACATTTCTATTTGGACATGATGAAAACACTGAATTTCAAGTAAGATTTTTAACAGTTATTAGTGCCTATATTTAGTACGACTTTAGACTTTTTTGTGAACAATAACATGAGAATTTTGACCTATATGTATGTGTGCCTCTTCTCTCAACATACGTTTTTAGTTGAAATACGACGTCAAGCGGTTCAGTCAACAAAATCTAAAAAGTTCTTTAGTTAGCTTTCAATATGGATTGCTTTGCCTCAAAAGTATTTGAGAGAATTACTGGTAATGAGATGCGAAATCAGCGTCTAAGAGTGTATTGATCATTCTGTTGAGACCACAACTCATCAACGATATTTTTTTAGATGAATGTGGCTTTCCATGGTTAACAATCTGCCAAATAACAAGTCAGATTTAAGATTTGAGATAAAAGAGGACGCTGTGCTCAGGTAAATACTTATTTATAGGGCAGTTTTAGATAAGCAATAATAACGCCATTAATGTTCTTATTAAAGCAAAAAATTTCATTTAATGTGTACCTAATTTTATACGATAAATCTTATTGTAAATGGAGGAACAGCTTTTTTTCTCATTGCTCATTTCAGATTTATTATCTTTATATCAGAGATAATTTTCGTACACACTTCTTATTGCACAAAATATATTTGATCATATGACTGTTCCCATGAAACAGATATCATTCATTTTTCATATTGGTTTAAGATAGCACTTGGGTATTTGAGAAAAAAAGCGAAAAAGAGAGAACGCAAAATGCAACAGTTTTTATTATATGTTTGAAAACAAATCAAATTAGAATTACAAAAATTTTTTATATTAAACGAAAATTCATCGTTATATTGTTTTTAGTTTTTTGTAATAGCGGTTCAATGTTGACAATGTAAAAACCTTTTTCGCATGTGCGAGTATAACGGACAAATTCGAGTCACAAAAAAAGTTCAATTTGTTCGTTGGCTCACGCAACTTGATTAAGGGCAAACGACGTTCCGATGAAAAAAGATACCGACAGATTTCAAAAGGTAAGTCAGAAAAACTCGAAAATCAATTCCAGAAAGAAAACAGGGACACGGATTACTAAAAGGATAAATTAATAATGAAGAGGTTGAATTCTCGCGAGTGTGAGTTATTGTTAACGCGACAGCTGGAGTTTTATGAGTTTGGTAGCTAGTTTCAAATGCGGATGAGTGGAGGAGGATCCGGACAATATGTGATATGTGCGGCTGTACCTACTTTTAAGGATAAAAAAGTCGATTTTTGATGGCACAATTGAGCTTGTATTTTGTCATCTACATGTCTGGAGTAAAATCACTATCTGTTCAATCTTCCGCTCATCAAACAGCATTTGTGATGTAACATGAAATGAGTTTATATTAGTTTAAGAGCAAATAGCGCTCATCTACCGCTCGTTCCTTTCATAACTGTAAGACCTTGTTTCAGACAAAAGTGAAGATTTTTCAGCAAAATATTTAAATAATGTAGATAGATAAATGAAGCTCAGCGCAGTGAAATAACGTCTCGCTTCAGCTGGTTGGCACCCGTACTCATTGTGAATTACCTTTTTTTGAATTATACTCATAATTACAAAGAGTCTTTCTACACGATAAGATAAGATATAAGTAATATCCACCCGTTCTTTATCTATCGTACCTTTGAGAAACAACATATAAACGAAGATACCATAAGCTTGTTAGCGAGAAAATTCATACAAATTCGCTAACAACTAGGGCACGAATGAACACGAATGAGCTAGGTTTTCTATATTATGATTTTCAGCTTTAACCGTCCCTAGTGCTGGATCAACTACAATTGTCCATTCTATCTGACACTGCGAAATATTCTAAAACGAAGCGCGATTAAAATGACGTTTTTTTCCCGTTCGCAATCGCAAAATTTTAACGATGTGTATTTTCGTTGTGTTAAAAATAAAGAACGCCAATTTACATCGTATGACTTTTATAAATACTCACTACTAACGCCCTCTATCAATTCTTTGCTTCACTGTAGTCGATTACGTATACATGTACACTCCTCAGAGTCGGACTGGCGCTCGCTGTCGCTGAAATTTGTACATCCGTGTCCAAGCAGGTGCTTCCAATATCGAAAGGTAAAATATGATTTATTTATAAGCTTTTTTCCAGAGAAATATGCTTAAAAACGTTTGTATAAAGAGTATCATAAATAAATACCTTGTCTATTTAAGCTTCTTTTTCTTAATTGTATTCAATTCAGAAGAATATGCAGAATAATAAAAGCCGAATACATTGTATCAAATTTATGAGTATTTCAATAAAACCGCTAGTTGCCGTTATATCAGTGTTTCAAGCACATAAAGTATGCAATTTATTGGTTTTGATTAAAATCATGAATCGGATTACATTATTAGAATATAGTCAAAATTACATAAATTTTTGGAATATTATAAAATTTCTTTCATTTTAGCAATTAAGAGTCAGTTTTCGCATAGGTTGGAGATAAGGGTAGATTATACTCAAAGTATTATCTTTATTTTCATCTTTCATTCAGTGAAAGACCGGAAATTCTTGCCTAAAAATAGTGACGTAACCAGAAATTTGATAGTGGGGAGATGACTTACTCTAAAGAAAATGTAGTCTTTCTCGAAAAAGCTTAGGTAAATTTTCTAAGCCAGAACAGCAGAAGAAATCGTAGCAACAGCATATACAAACTGCGTTAACATTAAAAAAAACAGATTGATTCACGTACTACAGTTTTTCACTGAGTTCCTAAATTTTCTTTTAAAAAAACATGGTTATGAAACCTGGCGTGATCGAATATGTATGCCTGAAATTATTTCTCAAGTTATTAGGCTCAATTGGATAGAAATTGATAAGTCAAACAAAATTGCTATAGTTCCCGAACCAGCACCTCCAAATCTGCCTAGGTATGTAGAGCACACTTTGTGCTATCTAAGCATATAGTTTTAATTTTGGATCCATTGCGCCTTCAGGATCGAGTGGTCACCACTTTTTTCATCCGTCAAGTATACCATGGTAAATCTCATCAAATATGGATATTTTCACTTAGACAGATAACCTGTAATTTTTACTACAAAATGATCAAACTCGAACTCTCTATCACTTTTCATTCACATTTTATTTAAAAAGTACTCACAACCATACCGGATAGTAGTCTGATAGATATTTCAAGCGGGGAGCCCGGATAATACTACGGATAATAATAAAAGTTACAGCATATAGATAGTCTAGTATGACGAATCAATCAGAAATACTTGCAATCCTCCTCCGAATCTTCAGAAGCGTGCAGAAAAGTTTTTAGTTTTATATTACATTGTGCGCTTTTTCTGTGGAATCAAAGTCATGGAAGGTCGTTCTGAGATATAAGCTCCTAAAGTCCGAGGACCTTCTTAACAAACACTATTATATAATTTGTAGTA